GCACTTCACTTTTCACTCACTTAAAAAAGAAACCCCCAAGAGGAGAAGTACATAATTAATGCACAACAAAAATCTTAAAAATTTAGCCAGGCATGGCAGTATGTAACTGTAGTCCCAGCTACTCAGGAGGCTGAGAGGGGAGGATCACCTGAGCCCAGGAGTTTGAGATCATAGCTGCAGTGAGCTGTGATCCTGCCACTCCACTCCAGCCTGGGTGACAGAGTGAGACCCTGTCTCAAAAAATAAAAAAAATCTTTAAAATCTCTTCTCTCTCCATGGATGACAGCTGTTCTCACAAATTTCCTCTCTCTGACTCCCTTTACTCCAAACTAACCCAAACTCTATTGTGAGAAGACACCTGGACTGTACTGAGCATAGTAACTGAGAGTCCAGTTGTTGCTTTGAAATTCACTACTGAGGGCCAGGTGCAGTGGCTCACGCCTATAATCCCAGCACTTTGGGAGGCTAAGGCGGGTGGATCACAAGGTCAAGAGATCGAGTCCATCCTGGTCAACGAGGTGAAACCCCATCTCTACTAAAAATACAAAAATTAGCTGGGCATAGTGGTGCATGCCTGTAGTCCCAACTACTCAGGAGGCTGAGGCAGGAGAATTGCTTGAACCCAGAAGGCGGAGGTTGCGGTGAGCCGAGATTGTGCCATTGCACTCCAGTCTGGGTAACAACAGTGAAACTCCGTCTCAAAAAAAAAAAAAAGAGAGAGAGAAATTCAGTACTGAAATCTGTGCTGAGGTCACGCCTTCGATGGGCTGCTCCCAGCATAGCTGTGGCAAAAATACTTTGGCTCTTTGGGGATACTTTGCAGAGACGAAGAAGAAAAAAAAAATACTTTGGCTCCTGTACTTCCCAACAACCTTGCTGAACTGTCCTTACAACTGAACAGTACTCTGAGAAGCTCCCACTCACCTTTCTTCCTTCCCTCTCTTCCTGACTGCGGGTCAGATTTGCATCGCAATCTGATGGCCCTCCCTGCTTCCACCACTGCCTCCTCATTTTCTCTCACAGGTGATTCCCCTAACTGATTTCTTCTCTCTCTCTCTCTCTCTGTCTCTGATGGAGTCTTGTTTTGCTTTGTCACCTAGGCTGGAATGTAGTGGTGAGGTCTCGGCTCATTGCAACCTCCACCTCTCAGGTTCAAGCAATTCTCCTGCCTCAGTCTCCCAAGCAACTGGGATTATAGGCATGCACCACCATGCCCAACTAATTTTTGTCTTTTTAGTAGAGACGGGGTTTCACCATCTTAGCCAGGCTGGTCTTGAACTCCTGATCTAACGTGATCCACCCACCTTGGACTCTCAAAGTGCTGGGATTACAGGAGTGAGCCACTGTGCCTGGCCTCCTTAATTGATTTCCTCTCTTGGCAGTTGCTTCTCTGAAGAGGCGGATTATGTGTGTGATGTCTTCCATTTCCTCCTTTCTACCACTGCACTCATCTTTGCTGAAAGTTGTAACTGAATAAGGTAGAATGACCAGAAAATGTTGACACCTCACTGTCCCCTGACCACCATCATTCCTTGTGGAAGGAAGTGAGGTTGTGGAAGGACAATCCTCATTCCTTGTGGAAGGAAGTTATCAACAAACAAATAAAAATAAACCTTACAACCCTATGAAGTAGAATGAATTTTACACACGAGGAAACTGTGGCTAAGTTGTCCAAGATCACAAAGAGGTAACTGGCAGAGTTGGAACTAACCTCAGGACAGTCTAACACCAATGGCTGAGCTTTTGTCATTACGTCATGAGTAAGAAACCCAGAACACAAGGGTTTCATAGATCAGCCCCTCTCCACTTTTACAGAGGAAACTGAGGTCCTGAGGTGAATTAGCCTGTGTTATCCAGGAAGTCAGGGCAGAAGCAAGATTTGCGCCCAGGTATTCCAACTCCAGATTTTCAGCTCTACTGTCAGAAAGTGAGAAAACTAAAGACAGATCAGGGTGATTCCTGTCTCACAATGGAGAAAAAGCCTCAAACACAGCAACCAGCAAGGGAACTAAGGACAGGAAACCAGCCTAGAGCATACTGGTATTAGAGGGCAATTACTCAATCTCCTCCTACCCTCACCCACCTACCCCAAGCTGGAGCTTGCATCTGAGGTCTGAGGAGTAACATTACAGACCTATAGAACTATGAAGTACCCATGGGTAGAGTATTAGGACAGTGAGGAAGAAGTGGAGGGAGACAGGACTAGCTGGAGGAAGCAGTCAGGTTCAATGAGCCTTCCAGTGTTGGGTTTTCTACTAATCACTGGTTATCTAAAGTTAAATAAGAAAAATTTCCTTGCTTCTGAGGATCAGGATAGACTGCAAGGAGGAGATGATACCTGAGCAAGTTTCAGAGCCTGAAAAAACATAGAGGAGTAGGTGAAAATTTCTGGACTCACTTATAATTGCCTATTTGCAGGCTCGATTCATCAGCTGCAGTCCCTGCCCTCTGGCTGGAGAGTCTATCTAGGAAAACAGCTAAACAATCTTAACACAGTGTGAGATGTGCTTTATGAAAAAACCTACAAGGCACTGTGGGACAAGGGAGACCCACTGCCCCCAGCCCAAAGCAAGTCTCAATTTCTGGACATGAAAAAACTCTTCACAATTTAATTCCATTCTCACTTTCCAGTCTCATTTATCACCATGTCCCCAAAAGCTGGGAACACAACCAATATGTGTGTGTCTGTGTATGTCTGAACATGCCAGGCCTTTGCTCACACTCCTTCTGTTCCCTGGCATGTGGTTGCTTCCTTGGAGATACTCTTCTCGACATACTCAGCCTTATTCAAATTCTCTCTTATGCTCCCAAGGCCAGTTCTTTGTCCGTTGCCTCTCTAGGTTGGTGAAGTCCTTAAAGCAAGGACTCAAATGCAAGGTCAAGGGCACTCATTATGAAGTTATACAGATGCAGGTGGCCTTTGTCTAGCAGGTGACCTCTTAGCTTCCCTCTATCTAGAACAATTCCTACTCCAGGAAATGCAATCAGTACTGATGTTTAGTTCTTGGCAAATGGTAGGTGCTCAAAAACGTTTTCTGAGTTGAATTGGATTACATTAAGGTCCCAGGTCAGAATTTGAACTTTATGAAGGCCCTGGCTATGAGCTGGATCTTGGAAGGGCTCATGATCAACTTTAGCAGTTTTCTGTGGCTAAAAATGAGAAATATACAGCATGTTATTTGCCTTGAAGACCTGCCTGTTAGTGGGAGAAACAGATGGTCAAGCTCTCAACAGTACAATTCCAAACTCCTAGAGCAGTGGTTCTTAAAACTTTAGCAAGCAGATCAGAATCTGCTTGCTGTAATAAAGGTCATCTGTTAAAACAGATGGCTGGCCCCAGCCCCGGAGTTTCTGATTTAAAGGTCTGGGACAAACTCTGAGAATTCGAGCTTGAATTTCCAATTCACTCCCAGGTGATACTGAAGCTGCTGTATTGACAAGATTCCCTCCTTGATCAAACATTGGTCAGGTTCTTCTGAGTTCTCCTTTTGACTAGGCCTGAGCTTGGGCTCCCATTTCTTTCCTTGTAGAATTCCATTTTAGCAAGAATCTTGCCAAGTCATTTTAGCCAGAATCCTCCATTCTTGATATCTGAACGCTCTCCATATCTGATTTTAGATCCATACTTGCCATTATCCCCCAGGGAATGTTTGATTATCCTGGCCTGCCTTTGGCAGGAATCCTGGTAGGTCGATTTAGCCAGGTCTTGCCCCATGTTTCCTCAGTAATTTTCCATCCACTGACTTCCACACACTGCCCTTTAGCTATAAATTCCCACTTTGCTATATTCAGCCCAACCTCTGTCACTTACTGTAAAACTCTGTCCCTACCTCTGTCAGATTGGGACTGATAACATTTGCCTTATCATTCTTTTTTTTAATTAAAAATTTTTTTTTTAACTTTCTGGACAGCAATGCCTTATCCTTTTTTTTTTTTTTTTGAGAAGGAGTTTCGCTCTTGTTACCCAGGCTGCAGTGCAATGGCGCGATCTCGGCTCACCGCAACCTCCACCTCCTGGGTTCAGGCAATTCTCCTGCCTCAGCCTCCTGAGTAGCTGGGATTACAGGCATGCGCCACCATGCCCAGCTAATTTTTTGTATTTTTAGTAGAGACGGGGTTTCACCATGTTGACCAGGATGGTCTCGATCTCTTGACCTCGTGATCCACCTGCCTCGGCCTCCCAAAGTACTGGGATTACAGGCTTGAGCCACCGCGTCCTGCCAGCCTTATCATTCTTAAACATGAATAATTGTCATAATTTTTTTCTTTAATGGGATTCATACTTTGAGAACTACTGATTAGAGGTTAAGGGTCCTGTGCTTATTATCTGGCACACATTAGTGGTATGCCTCTGAGTTTGAATCCAACCACATTGCCTTTCTTGTTTTTTTTTTTTTTTTCTTTTTTGAGATGGGTTTTGCCCAGGCTGGAGTGCAGTAATGCAATCACGACTCACTGCATGCAGCCTTGACATCCCAGGCTCAAGCGTTCCTCCCACCTTATCCTCCTGCGTAGCTAGGGCCACAGGTGTAAGCTGTATACCCAGCTAATTTTCACATTTTTTGTAGATGTGGGGTCTCTCATTATATTGCTCAGGCTGGTCTTGGGCTCCCGGGCTAACCTACCTCCGCCTCAGTCTTGCTTCTTGATCAAATCACTCATCACTCTGTGCTTCATTTACCTCATCTGTGAAAACCAGATAATATGCTAGTGCATGGTAAGTGCAAAAAGCAATACCTGGCACAATGCTTAATACATGATGGTTAAATCTTATAATCTCATTTTCTGCAGAAAGGAGGACGACAAAGTTAAGGGTCTAGGTGGTCAGAGAAGAGCAAGGACTATGTCTCTCTTTTGTGCAGCCAGGCGGGCCCTATATTTTTTCTCCGCGTGGCTCTCCTAGGGCGGCCTCGGGTCTCGAACTCTGACTTCTAACCCCCAAACAGGTTCTGTAGTCCAGCCTCTAGGCTCCCTACAGACCGCCGATGCTGCGCAAGCGCAGTGACCACGCTTTATGCACATGCGTACTCAGGTGCGCCAGTAGGGGACGCGCTGGCACAGCAAAATGGCGGCGGCACTACGGGTGGCTGCGGCCGGGTCGAGACTCAGCGTTCTGGCGAGTGGTCTCCGCGCCGCGGTCCGCAGCCTTTGCAGCCAGCCCACCTCTGTTGACGAGCGCATTGAGAACAAGCGCCGGACCGCGCTACTGGGAGGAGGCCAACGTCGTATTGACGCGCAGCACAAGCGAGTGAGTCCCGCCCCTGGCGTCCGCGACCTATCACAGCGTGTCCGGCTCGCGGCGCCCGAGGTCTTCCTGCCAATCCGCACGGTTCCTGGAGGGGCGGGGGCGAGAGGGAGAGTGTTCACCTTGAAAACCTGTAGTGTTTCGCGTGGAGGCGGGTATAACCAGCAGAAGCACCTGTGTGCTTTTTCACACTGTTTAACTCTTGGGATTTAGACGGAAATGGCTGGTCTCCAGCCAGCTCACCACTTAATATAAACTTTTGGGCAACTTATTACATCTCTGTGGGTCAATTTAATAATTCTTCCCGCATAAGCGTATCGTTAGACCATAGACATTCAGTAAAAAAGATGTGCATATTCTTCTCGTGCCCCATGAAAAAGTGATGGTAGATTCTTTCTCCATTGTGGAAGCAGGAAAATTGGACAAACTCCACTAACATGAGTTGGGGGATGTGCGCGTGCAGGGAACTTGTGGAACTTCTGTCCGCAGAATGCCCGGTCAACCTCTTTAGGGCCTTAGCATGCCTCGCCTTGGTGGGTAGCAGAGGCACGTGTCGGAATCAGGTGGCCTTTCTGGGAGTTCTCAGGCTATTCTCGATGTTCGGCTGGACTGAGCAACGGAGGCACTACCTACCACCCACCGCCTGGGTTTTGAAGTGAGATTCGCAGCTGGCCTCCAGAGAAAAGCCGGGTGGCCGGTTTTGGAGAGGTGGCCCCTGACTTGAAACCAGGCTTGCACAATGTGTCCATGACTCTCGACCGTTGTGCTGAACGAATTACGGAACCAACAGGAAGGTGCAGAAGTGAAACTCATAGGTGAAGGGTTCTCAGGCACAACTCACAACTATGGGGGAGGGACTGGGGGAGGGATGGGGTCTTAAGGTGAGGAGATTTGAACAGCTCTGTATTTAAGTCTAGTGTTGATTCAGATGTCATAAATTCGCATTTGACAAGGGCCTGAAGGTTCCTTTTGACACTTGGGAGAGAAATGTAAATTTGGTTGATGGTCTGTGGTGCTAGTGCTTTCTCTCCCTCCCACGGGACTGCTTTCTCTCCCTCCCCCGGGACTGCTATGTTAGGGCTGAGGGAGATGTTAGATCATCCTCTGGAAAGGCCTGTCAGTGCTCTGTACAGTCTTTCTGTTGGGATCTATTGGTCAATTCTTTCGTGGAACATCGCCCAACCTTTTCCCAGGTAGATCCTACTGGGTTTAGATGAAGCCTCCCAAAGCTGTTTTTCTTTTGCCAAATTTCACTTAGGAGGCAGATTTGATATGAACCCCCTCTTCTACCCCTTTTTAATTTTTGAGATGGAATTTTGCTTTTGTTGCCCTGCCCAGGCTGGAGTGCAATGATGAGATCTTGGCTCATTGTAACCTCTGCCTCCCAGGTTCAAGTGATTCTCCTGCCTCAGCCTCCCGAGTAGCTAGGATTACAGGCACATACCACCACACCTGGCTAATTTTTGTATTTTTAGTAGAGACGGGCTTTCACCATGTTGGCCAGGTTGGTCTCGAACTCCTGACCTCAGGTGATCTGCCCACTTCGGCCTCCCAGAGTGCTGGGATTACGGAATTTTTGTTTGTTTGTTTTTGAGACAGGCTCTTATTCTGTCACCCAGGCTGGAGGGCAGTGGAATCATGGCTCATGGCATCCTCAACCTCCTGGCTGGACTCCAGTGATCCTCCCACTTCAGCCTCTTTTCCAGCTAATTTTTTTTTTTTTTGGTAGAGATAGGGTCTCACTTTTTTGCCCAGGCTGGTCTCAACTCCTGGGCTCAAGCAGTCCTTCCACCTTGGCCTCCCAAAGTGCTGGAATTACAGGTGTGAGCCACAGTGCCTGGTCAGTATAAATATATGTGTGTTATATATAAATATATTACACATACATATATATATAATATATTTAAATAATCTATATTTTCTTTGAGACAGAGTTTTGTTCTTGTTGCCCAGTCTGGAGTGCAATGGTACGATCTTGGCTCACTGCAATCTCCACCTCCTGGGTTCAAGCGATTTTCCTGCCTCAGTCTCCTTAGTAGGTCAGATTACAGGCATATGCCACCATGCCTGGCTAATTTTTTTTGTATTTTTAGTAGAAACAGGGGTTCTTCATGTTGGTCAGGTGGTCTTGAACTCCTGACTTCAGGTGATCCGCCTGCCCTAGCCTCTCAAAGTGCTGGGATTATGGGCATAAGCCACTGAGCCTGGCCAGTATAAATATATTTTAAAAATCTGTATATATATATTGCCAAATTGCTTTCCTAAAAACTTATTCTACTTTACATGACAGTGTATAGGATTGCCTGGTTTTTGTTTTTTTAAACGCAACCTCAGTAGCTTCGGCTAGTTTCTAAGGGGGAAATAATAGCCAGTTTGAGGTGTGTGTATGTTTGGGGTGGGGTGGGGGGGGTGGAGGAGGGGGTTGGGGGGAGGAGGAGGACGAAGGATGGTAGGCCAGGGTGTTTGCCTTGGGCTGATAGCTTGGGAGCCCAAGCAATGGAGGCTCTTTTTTTAAAAAAAAAACAAAAACAAAAAAACAAACAAACCAGGATCTCACTCTGTTGCCCAGGCTGGAGTGCAGTGGAATGATCATGGCTCACTGCAGCCTCGACCTCCTGGACTCAGGTGATCCTCTGGCCTCATCCACACAGGTAGCTGGGCTACAGCACGTAGCAATACTCCCAGCTAATTTTTGTATTTTTCAGTAAAGACCAGGTTTCACCATGTTGCCCGGCTGGTCTTAAACTCCTGGACTCAAGTGATGCTTGTCTAAGCCCCTCACCTCTAGCATTACCAATATTAGAGGCACTGCCTGCCCAGTTACATATGTTCAATGGACACGGTATTCTGACTGTGCAAAGGTAGTATAATCACTTGTTCTCTAATTAGGGACGTTTATGAATGGCCACATGAGGGTTCAGCTGTCTCTTACTTTTAATCAGTGCTGGGTTTACAGGTGTGGGCTACTGTGCCTGACCGAGGCTCGTGGTAGATTGAGAGCTTCGCCCTCATCTCCTCAAAGAGGCATTTTAAAACTCTTCTCTAGTGAGCTCTTTAGCATTTTGTGTCCCACTCCCCTTCTGCTCAGCCACACTCTGATGTGGGGTCATCTCTGTGTCATAGTGTCACTGTCAGGTGTGGGATCCCTAAGCAGGGGATAGGATAGTAGGAAAAAGAAGCCCTCGGAGGAGGCAGGAGAAAAACCAGGAAGTAGTGCGTCCTTGAGGTGGGAGCTGGGAACAGCAGGGAACCTGGTGAGGTGAGGTGTGCTTCTGTAGGTCTCCGTGGAAAGAACCTGTCTCAGATCCATCACTGAGCCTGCTTTAGTTTCTACCACCTGCTTCTACATTCTTCTTTTTATGGCTGTTTAGGTCTCTAGTAAGTATTTGCGAAACTAGTTACTATGTTCCAAGGTCAGGTTCTCCTTATCCCCACTTCTCTCTACCTTTTCCGCCCCCTATTTCCTTATTCATCTTCCACAGTTGGGTGGCTTCTGGAGCACACTTTCTGCCCTGATTTCCATGTCATCTAATGTTTGCTAATAACACCTATCTGCCTTGGGCACGTTGGACAGAACGGAGGCATTTGCCTTGGGATGAACAACAAAAGCTGCCCTTCAGGCCCTCCGGTGAACAGCCCTTGCTTGGCCTACTAAATTGTCTGTGATGACATTACTGAGTGATCTTTGTTCTGTTGTAGGGAAAGCTAACGGCCAGGGAACGGATCAGTCTCTTGTTGGACCCTGGCAGCTTTGTTGAGAGTGACATGTTTGTGGAACACAGATGTGCAGATTTTGGAATGGCTGCTGATAAGAATAAGGTATTTGTTCAAATAGTGGTCTGAACACTTTCTAGGTGTGGCTCAGCTGGCCTACCCACTATAATAATAATAAATCTGTAAGGCTGAATCTGAAGTCCTCTGTAGAAGACCTGCAGATACCATGCCCGGCTAATTTTTGTATTTTTAGTAGAGACAGGCTTTTACCATGTTGGTCAGGCTGGCCTTGAACTCCTGGCCTCAAGCAGTCCACCCACCTTGGCCTCCCAAAGTGCTGGGACTACAAGCATGAGACACTGTACCCTGCCTCGTGTTTCTTCATGTGTCCTCCTTTGCATAAGCATAGAGAAGTGGTGGCCCTGGGGTCTTGATTATTTTGCTTTTAGGAGGGTAGATAAAGCCTAAGATGACGGTGCCCTTCACTCTTGTTGATGAAGTAGTAGCCCGATGCTTGCTGTTGTAGAACTGGGAAAGTGGGGTGGGATTCCTTCATGTCCCTTGTTCATATTAAAGTTTTAGGAATTTGGGTTTTGTTTGTTTTTGTCTTTAATTGAGGCATAGTGGCCAAATTCATTCAAAAAACTATTTGGATTTTTTAACCTTTGTTTTTCATTTTTCTGGTAGTTTCCTGGAGACAGCGTGGTCACTGGACGGGGCCGAATCAATGGAAGATTGGTTTATGTCTTCAGTCAGGTATTTCATAACTCTGTTAGTCTGAGTTTTCTTGGAGGGCCGAGCCAAGAACAAAATATGTGAAAGAAACCAATTTTGGGGAATGAAAACTTGCTTGTAGTTTGGGGCAAATGAGGGATTTGCTTCGTTTTTCAGTGCATATGTCCAGCATATAATACTTTTTTTCTTTTCCTTAGGAAGAGTCCTAGTTTGTTTTAGACAGGATTACTGGGCACTAGCCTTGTACAAAATTAACCCAGGAATCAGGATTTTATTCCAAATGAGTAAGATTCCTCTTGAGAGGGTTGGGTGTGTGCCTGGAGAGCATTTGTGTTCTGGGCAGTCTGTGTGGACTAGAGAGTGCAGTGGGTGCAGCCTAGCGAAGGGGACTTGACTCTCAAAACCAGAGTCTCCCTGAGCGTTGGGCTTTCATGAATATGTTCATGTTCAGAAAGCTTTTTTTTTTTTTTTTTTTAAATGTGGGATTTTACCATGATGGCAAGGCTGGTCTTGAACTCCTGACCGCAGGTGATCCACCCACCTCGGCCTCCCAAAATGCTAGGATTACAGGCGTGAGCCACTGCACCCGGCTCAGGAAGCTTTTTTATTTTTTGAGATGGAGTTTGCTTTTGTTGTCTAGGCTGGAGTGCAATGGCACCATCTCGGCTCACTGCAACATTCGCCTCCTGGGTTCAAGCGATTCTCCTGCCTCAACCTCCCGAGTAGCTGGGATTACAGGCATGTGCCACCACTAATTCTGTTTATTTTCAGTAGAGATGGAGTTTCTCCATGTTGGTCAGACTGGTCTTGAACTCTCAACTTCAGGCGATCCGACAGCCTTGGCCTCCCAAAGTGCTGGGATTACAGGCGTGAGCCCGGCCTCAGAAAACTTTTATCAGGCTGCCTCAAGATAGATACAGTTTGTTCACACACAGAGCCAAAGCTATCAATGTTGTTTTACGTGCAAAAGGGAATGAAGGTTGTTAGCTGACCTTACAATAGGGAGAGTAGCTTGGTTTATCCAGGTGGGGCCAGTATAATCACAGGGCCCTTAAAAGCGGAAGAGGGAGATAGAAGAGGAGCTCAGAAGGAAGTGACATGAGGAGGACTTGACCTGCAGTACCTGGCTTTGAGGATGGGAGAAGGGGACCATCAGCAAAGGAGTGCCCATGGTCTCTAGGAGCTGATAAAGGCAAGAAAATACATTTACCCTTGGAGCCTCCAGAAAGGAGCACAGTGCCGCCCACCTTAATTTTAGCCCAGTCAATCCTATGTAGCACATCTAAACTATAGAACCCTAAGATAATACATCTGTGTTGTTTCAAGGCACTGAATTTGTGTTAATTTATTATAGCAGTAATAAGAAACTAACACAGAATATGTTGTGTACTATTTTGGATTTTGCTTTTTTCCCTCCAGAGGTGGAAATGCATATAATTTAAAATGTGTAGGTCCTTTTACAGACCTAAAGTTTGATATTAAAGTTAGCTGGGTGCAGTGGCTCATGCCTGTAATCCCAGTACTTTGAGAGGCTGAGATGGGTGGATCATCTGAGGTCAGGAGTCTGAGACCAGCCTGACCAACGTGGTGAAACCCCATCTCTACTAAAAACAGAAAAATTAGCCAGGTGTGGTGGATATCTGTAATCCCAGCTACTTGGGAGGCTGAGGCAGGAGAATCCTTTGAACCCAGAAGATGGAGGTTGCAGTGAACCGAGATTGGGCTACTGCCACTCTAGCCTGGGAGACTGGGCTAGACTACATCTCAAAAAATAAAAAAATAAAAAATAGTTACATCTGGTTATTTTAAAATCTATCATAGTTAGACAGTGTGCGTTTACTAAAGTTACCTTTGAAATGTTTTAAAACTGTTATAAATCGGTCTACCCAATGCTGAAATAGAAGGAATCACATTTATTTGTTTTGTGCAATTTGTGAGAACTGAGAAAAGTTGTGCAGAAGGAACCATTGAAAAGGGGTAGAACAAAGAAAGTTATGTTTTCTGGACATGGTATTCACTGACCACTATTAAGCAGATGGAAAAATTCACTGAATTGATACTTTTGAGCACCTCTTATTCTCATGTGGTAGGGTGGGAGTAAGGATAAGTGGAGATGACCTAGACAAGAGTTCTCACCCTGAAGAAGCGAATCGTTTTATAGGCAGAATGGCACAGAATAGATGTGACTACAGAGAAGATGGAGTGAGAGGTTCCAGACAAATGCTGTGGACCCAAGACAAGGGAAAATCACATCCAAGGTTGTGGAACGCTTTAGGAACAGCAGGGCAATTGAGACAGGCCCTGAAGGATAGGTAGGGAGTGATGAGCTAGTTTTTTTTTTTTTATAGTGATCTCTGAGATGTTAATGTCTGTAGGTATTTTTTTCTGGGGAGCTTCTTTTCTTCTGGGGGAATCTCCTCAGTCCCTTGCTTGATAATTGGCTCTTGGTATATTCTAGGAGGAGAGAAAAGAGGGGCCAGCATTCCCTCATTCAGTGTATAGTGTCCTAATCTTGCGTGTTTTCAGCCTCACCTTTCCCTCTTTTAGGCTAGAAGTTGTGAGTTTAGAACCTTTCTGGTTAACTTCCTTTAGAGAACAAACCTCGCTCCTCAAGGTGAAGGAGGGGCCCTGTGGGGTCTAACTGCTTCTAACATAGATTTCTATTAGTCTTGTTTTCAGCCCCCTCCTCACCTCCACTTTCCATGGTTCCTGGGTTGTTCCCTCCTTGATTACCCGCACTGCAGGTGTGTAAGCTTCCATTCTCTCCCTCCAAATCAGTTATTTTCTTGTGCTTTCAGTTCCCCTCAAATTTGTTTAATCTTTCCTATGCGGTTGTCTCCTTGTTTTTATTCTCATGGCAAATTAAGTCCCGAATGTCTTTTTGAAGGGGTTTTAGGAAGGAGGTTTTGCCCATAATAAGCCCGTTACATCTGAACGTAATGAAGGTCCATAAGCAGAAGAAGCCCTGAGAGCTCTGATTCTTGTTTTTTAATGAAGGTCCATAAGCAGAAGAAGCCCCAAGAGCTCTGATTCTTGTTTTTTAACCTTCCTTTTTAAAACAGCAAATATAGGCTAGGCGCGATGGCTCACACTTGTAATCCCAACATTTTGGGAGGCTGAGGGAGGTGGATCACTTGAGGCCAGAAGTTTGAGATGAGCCTGGGCAACATGGTGAAACCTCGTCTCTACTAAAAATACAAAGCTGGGCATGATGACATGTGCCTGTAATCCCAGCTACTCCAGAGGCTGAGGCAGGAGAATTGCTTTAACCTGGGAGGCGGAGGATACAGTGAGCCAAGATTATACCACTGTGCTTCAGCCTGGGCAGCAGACTGAGACCCTGTCTCAAAATAAATAATAAAACAGTAAATATTTTCTAAAAATAGAAGTGCTTGGCTGTTCGACATCCATAGAATCTGATATTAGAGTTAATTCGGTGTGATAGGTTTTCCTTCAGAAATCATTTTTTTCTTTTTCTTTTTTTAACTTGCAGATCATTTTTGTAGAGCAAAGACTAGCTTTTTTGCTCTTGACAATTCATGAACTTCAAGGTATTTTATTCTATGGAATAATCTATAAATCAGATTTTTTTTTCTAATTTTTTTAATCTTCTGAAAATTCTTCAAAAAAAAAAATTTTTTTTTTAATGGAGTCTCCTTCTGTTGCCCAGGCTAGAGTGCACTGGTGTGATCTTGGCTTACTGCAACCTCTGCCTCCCAGGTTCAAGTGATTCTCCTGCCTCAGCCTCCTGAGTAGCTGGGATTACAGGTGTGCACCACCACACGAAGCTAATTTTTATATTTTAGTAGAGACAGGGTTCCACCATGTTAGCCAGGCTGGTCTGGAACTCCTGACCTCAAGTGATCCGCCTGCCTTGGCCTCTCAAAGTGCTGGGATTACAGGTTTGAGCCACTGCATCCAGCCGACTTTTTTTTTTTTTTTTTTTAAAGACAGGGTCTTGCTTTGTTCCCTAGGCTGGGATGCAATGGTGCTATCTCAACTCATTGAAGCATCTGTCTCCTGGGCTCAAGCAGTCCTTCTGCCTCAGCCTCCCAAGTAGCTGGGACTCCAGATATGTGCCACCATACCCCACTAACTTTTTTTTGTATTTTTTATAGATACAGGCTTTTGCCATGTCGCCCAGGCTGGTCTCAAACTCCTGGACTCAAGCCAGTCACCTGCCTTGGCCTCTCAATGTGTTGGGATTACCGGTGTGAGCCACCAAGCCTGGCCTAAAAACTTTTATCTGTGAATTTTCTATTTCTTTCTCCTACTGGGTTTTCATCTCTAGCCAGTTACTATATTTGACTTGCTGATTTGTATTTTCTTTTTAGGATTTTACAGTTTTTGGAGGCAGTCTGTCAGGAGCACATGCCCAAAAGATCTGCAAAGTAAGTATTTAAGACTTAAATTCTCAGTCCATTGCTTTCCTCAGTTACTTAGTCTCATTGAGTCTCCTTGGGATACAAGACACTGAGCTAGGTACTTGGGGTAGGGCAGAGGTATGCAAGATGTGGTACTCACCTGAAGGGGTGCATAACATTTTTTGTACTGTGGATCTCTTCCATGGGCTGGCAAAGCCTGGACCCTTCTGTTTTTACATGCCTAATATAAAATTTTTAGGATTTTAAAGGATTAAAAATGTTTTTAAAACCCCACATTTATAATATATGTGCTTCCTTGTTAAGGCATTTAATGACAAGATTTAGCAATAGATCTGATAACTACCATAATTTCAAAGTAGTCAAAGGTGAAAATAGTACAGGATATTAACTTTAATGGAACATAAAAATATCGGGCCGGGCGCAGTGGCTCACGCCTGTAATCCCAGCACTTTGGGAGGCTGAGGCAGGTGGATCATGAGGTCAAGAGATCGAGACAATCCTGGTCAACATGTTGAAACCCCGTTTCTACTGAAAATACAAAAAAAAAATTAGCTGGGCATGGTGGCGCGTGCCTGTAATTCCCGCTACTCGGGAGGCTGAGGCAGGAGAATTGCCTGAACCCAGGAGGCGGATGTTGCGGTGAGCCATTGCACTCCAGCCTGGGTAACAGCAGCGAAACTCCATCTCAAAAGAAAAAAAAAAATCTGTGGCTTCTAATAATGACAAAGTCACAGGTATTTCTAATACTGCTGAGGCTCATTGCCTATATTCATAATGAAAAAAAAGTTAATGATCAGCTGGAGTTAGTAAAGATAAAGATGTAAATTTTTTCCCATTGAAGTTCATGGACCCCCTGAAATCCATTTACAGACCCCTCGGGATTCTGAGGATCCCAGGTGGAGAACCTCTTGTCTAAGTGAAGGGGCCAGGTGCTAGAAGTTAAAGAACAGTGCGAGGATTGCATGCTGATAATTAAAAACCACTGGTAGAGATTAGATGCTCTGGAGAAGAATAAAAGGATAAATATTTAGATAACTTTGGAATTAAAGTTGGAGCTACTAGTAATTGGAATATCTGTAGTGTAGACATGGTCCTGTCATGTATTACTCCTGAGACCTTGGGCCAATCACTTAACTTAAACTTTCGTAATTTTTTTTCTTTTTACTGCCTCTGTTATGATGGGTAAATGAGGTAGTGGAAGTGAAAGTACTTTTTAAACTGTCAAGGGCTGTAGGAATGTTGCTTATTATGCTGTCAGAACTACTAACTCATGAGGAAAATCTGTCACGTTAGAAGTAAAAGCAGGCCTGGGCCTGCCTTCAGATTAACAGATGGGTCAACATCTGCTTTCATGAAAATATAACTTTGCCATTCTGTCCACTGTAAGTTCTTTCAAAGCAGTACCTGTGAACAAAACTGGCTGCTGGAAGACATTACAACGTGAGCCTGTGATTCTAGAAATGGTTGCCATGAATTGTTTATCCCCTGCTGATGGGAAGTGTTTTGGCTCTTAGGTATGTGAGGGCTTTAATTGGCCTTTTAAGTATCTGGCCCTTCCATGAAAGTACCCAATCATAATGGGGAGTGAAACCAGTGTTACTGCCTCCTGTTTTGAAAAATGCACATAGAACATTTTCCAGAAAACTCTGGTACTTTGTGAATGCCGTTTTTACATCAAGAATGTTTGTCTCAACACAAAATTTCTCTGCTGTCTCAGATCATGGACCAGGCCGTAACGGTGGGGGCTCCAGTGATTGGGCTGAATGACTCTGGGGGAGCACGGATACAAGAGGGAGTGGAGTCTTTGGCTGGCTATGCAGACATCTTTCTGGTGAGAAAACTGTTAATTGAGAATAGAGAATAAGAAAATACAGGGCTTAATGTTCTTTAAATCATGGCCTGGTCAGAGCTTCTCCAGCTCTCCTCATTATTCTCTGCTGCATTGTCTCTGTTCTGTGGGTCCTTCCTGTGTGACTTGGGGTGGGATGAAGGGTAGATGAAAAGCAAGAGAGGGAAGAGAGGGTTTTCATTTTTTCTAACAGGGCCACTCATAGGGGAAATTACAGTTAAAGACTGTAAGGGAAAAGGACTTGAAAATGTATATTTTTTTGAAAGGAAGGGAGAGGAAATATGAAAAGTTAAAATGAACTGATTTGCTAGAATTAGACTTTTTAAAAAATGTAGCACCTTTAAGCTGGGCTTGGTGGCTCAAGCCTGTAATCCCAGCACTTTGGGTGGCCGAGGCGGGTGGATCACAAGGTCAAGAGATCGAGACCATCCTGGTCAACATGGTGAAACCCCGTCTCTACTAAAAATACAAAAAAAACAGCTGGGCATGGTGGCATGTGCCTGTAATCCCAGTTACTCAGGAGACTGAGGCAGGAGAATTGCCTGAACCCAGGAGGCAGAGATTGTGGTGAGCCGAGATCTCGCCATTGCACTCCAGCCTAGGTAACGAGAGTGAAACTCCGTCTCAAAAAAAATAAAAAAATAAAAAATAAAGTAGCACCTTTTTTATTTTTTGGTTAAAACACTACAGATTATATAAAGTCCAAGCCATAGTGCAAAGAAGAATAAAATCACCCCAGATCCTATCATTCAGAAACATTTGGTGAGCCTCATTACTGATACCATTTTGCTTATTTACAGACTGAAATTATGAGAGAAAGAAATGAAAAGAAACCTAAAATAATGTGCTATGTGAAGTGTAAAGTGTATTTGTGAGAGATACAGTCAAGAGAGATTGGGATGAGGCAGAGAGTTACTGTAGACAGAAACTGGCAACATTTCCAGGGTTAGAAAGGAAGGAGACAGGCAGACATTGTTTCTAATCAGGCCAGCTACTCTTGTCATCCTAGCTCTGCAGGTTTACTTCTATGGGTGGCTTGGCCTAAGCAGATCAGGCCTGGAAGTCATTCCTGTTGAGAAACAAAAGAGCGTCCCTCAGAGATGTGGTGATAAACCACCACATTTTAGAGCTTGACTGGATTTTAGAATATCATCTAGTTTAATACATCTTTATGGATCTGGAGAAGTGTTTTTTTTTTTAATATTTATTTTTTTTTGAGACAAGGGTCTCAGTTGCTTAGGCTGGAATGCAGTGGCGTGATCTCTGCTCACTGCAACCTCAGCCTCCTGGGTTCAAGTGATCATTTCACTGGTTCAGCCTCCTGAATAGCTGGGACCACAGTCATTTACCACCACACCTGGCTACTTTTTTTTGGTATTTTTTCTGTAGAGGTGGGTTTTTGCCATGTTCCCCAGGCTTGTCTTGAACTTCTGGACTCAAGTCATTGGCCTGCTTTTGCCTCCCAAAGTGCTGGGATTACAGGAGTGAGCCGCCGTGCCCGGCCTTTAATTTTTGTTTTCAAGGGCTGGTCTTCGGTGACTTCCAGATCTTCATTGCTTAATTAATTGCTTACTAATGCTGCTTGTCATTATTGACACCTCCACTCACTTATTCCTGCCTGTGTTATTTTTGGGTTACTTTTTATTTTGATAAAATTTCAAACTTCAGGCTGGGCACAGTGGCTCACGCCTGTAATCCCAGCACTTGAGATGGATCACTTGAGGTCAGGAGTTTAAGACTAGCCTGGCCAACATGGTGAAACCCTCTCTATAAAAAATACAAAAATTATCTGGGTGTGGTGGCATGTGCCTGTAGTCCCTGCTACTCAGGAGGCGAAGGTGGGAGCGTTGCTTGTACCTGGGAGGCAGAGGTTACAGTGAGCCAAGAGTTCCAGTATGGGCAGCAGAGTGAGACTCCGTCTCAGGAAAAAAAATTCAAACTTCATAGAAGAATGACAAAAATACTACAGGAATTCCTATAATGCCCTATTCTCAGATTCACCAGTTATTTACATTTTCTCTGTTTGTTCTATTATTCTCTCTCCATATGTACATATTTGCATATTATATTTTTCTGAAATATTTGAGAATAAATTAGAGATACTATGTCTTCTTTACCTCCTAAGTTCTTCATTATTTCTAAAGAATATGGATATTCTCTTAACCAGAATACAGTAATAAAAATAAGGAAATTTAGCATTGATTCATTAATATTATTCTAATTTATAATCCTTACTCAGCATTTAATAAAGTCCTTTATAGTGTATGCTCTTGTGTGTGTGTGCTCTCTCTTTGAGTGTCTCTCTCTCTATATATATATTTGTTCTTCCTGGCCAGGATCCAATCCAGAATGAAGGATTGACTTTAAATGTTACCTCTCTTTAATCTTTTTTGATCTGGAGCAGTCCTGTCTTTGTTCTCCATGATCTTGACATTTTAAAAAATAGCTTTCTTGAGAAACATTTTACAGATCATAAAATCCACCCATTGTAAAGATATCCAATAATTTTAAATTAATTTTTAGAGTTGTACAGTCATAATCTAGTTTTAGAACCTGCCACTCACTCCAAAAACACCCTCTTGCCTGTTTGCAGTCAGTTTCTGCCTAACCACAGGCAACTCCTCACCCATCTTTCTGCTTTTACAGATTTTTGCATCTGACTCCTTTCACAAACTAGATGGGGTCTAGCTCTGTTGCCTGGACAGGAGTACAGTGGTGCAATCACAGCTCACTGCAGCCTTGAACTCCTGGACTCAGGCAATCCTCCTACCTCAGCCTACCAAATAGCTAGGAATATAGGCACACACTAGTACATCCAGCTAATGTTTTTTGAGGTCATTCATATTGTAATGTGTATTAGTTTTTTCTTTTTATTGCTGAATAATATTCTATTGAACATTTTACATATTTTCATCATTTACCACATGAGAGAGATTTGGGTTGTTTCTAGTTCCTGGCTATCATGAATAAATGCTAATGTGAGCATTTGTGTGTTACTCTGTGTGAACATATGTTTTCATAACCCTTGGGTAGATAGGTACCTAACAGTGGGATTATAGGTTTTATGATAAGTTTTGTGTATAACTTTTTAAGAAACTGCCAAATTGTTTTCCAAAATAACTAAAACATTTTACATTACCATAAGCAATGTATTCATGGGTGCAGGTTCTCCACATCTTTGTTGATACTTGGTATTGTCAGCCTTTTTTTTTGGGACAGAGTCTTACTCTGTGGCCCAGTCTGGAGTGCAGTGGTACAATCTCGGCTTACTGCAACCTCTGCCTCCTGGGTTCAAGTGATTCCTCTGCCTCAGCCTCCTGAATAGCTGGGATTACAGGTGTGCACCACCACACCTGGCTAATTATTGTATTTTTAGTAGAGATGGAGTTTCATCATGTTGGCCAGGTTGTTCTCAAACTCTTGACCTCAAGTGATCTGCCTCCCTTGGCCTCCCAAAGTGTTGGAATTACAGGTGGGAGCCACTGCACCTGGCCAATCTTTTCTTTCTTTATTTATTTTTATTTATTTGTTTTTTAAAGATGGGGTTTCACCATGTTGGTCAGGCTGGTCTTGAACTCCCGACCTCAGGTGATCCGCCCACCTTGGCCTTCAAAGTGCTCACATTACAGGTGTGAGCCACCATGCTCACTTTTTTTTTGAGACAGGGTCTCACTCTGTTGTTCAGGTTGGAGTGCAGTGGCATGATCACCAGCTCACTGCAGCCTCGACCTCCTGGGCTCAAGTGATTCTCCTGCCTCAGCTTCCCAAGTAGCTGGGACGACAGGCATGTGCCACCATGCTTGGCTTGCTATGTTGCCCAGGCTGGTCTTCAACTCCTGGGCTCAAGCGATCCTCCTGCCTCGGTGTCCCAAAGTGCTGGAATTACAGGTGTGAGCCACTGCGCTTGGTCCAGTCTTTTTGACTGTAGCTGTTTTAGTAGTATGTAATGGTATCTCACTGTAGTTATAGTTTACATTTCTCAGATGACTAATCATGTTGAGCATCTTTATGTACATATTAGTCATTTGTAAACCTTCATTGCTGAAATGTCTGTTTAGATCTTTTGTCCATTTTGTAATTTATTTTTTTATTGTTGTTTTTTTTTTTTTTAAAAGATGGGTTTCACCATGTTGGTCAGGTCGATCTTGAACTCCTGACCTCAGGTGATCCACCCACCTTGGCCTCCAAAGTGCTTGGATTACAGGTGTGAGCCACCATGCCTGGCCTTTTTTTTTTTTTTTTTTAAAGCAGAGATATGATTTGTAAGTATTTTCTCTCAGTCTGTGGCTTGTCTTTTCCTTCTTAGTGGTAGCTTTATTTATTTTTATTTTTATTTTTTGAGACCGTCTCACTCTGTTCTCCAGGCTGGAGTGCAGTGGTGTGATCTTGGCTCACTGCAACCTCCGCTTCCTGGGTACAAGTGATTCTTGGGTCTCAGCCTTGTGAGTAGCTAGGATTACAGATGCATGCCACCACACCCGGCTAATTTCTTTGTATTTTTAGTAGAGACAGGGTTCACCATATTGCCCGGGCTCGTCTTGAACTCCAGAGCTCAGGTGATCCACCTGACTCGGCCTCTCAAAGTGCTGGGATTCCAGGTATGAGACGCCATGCTCAGCCTATTTTTATTTTATTTTTTAGAGACAGGGTCTAGCTCTGTTGCCTGGGCTGGAGTACAGTGGTGCAATCACAGCTCACTGCAGCCTTGAACTCCTGGGCTCAAGCAATCCTCCTGCCTCAGCCTACCAAATAGCTAGGAATATAGGCACACACTAGTATATCTAGCTAATTTTTAAAAAATTTTTGGGTGTAGAGATGGGATCTTACTACATTTGCCTAGGCTGGTCTTGAACTCCTGCTTTACCATCCCAAAGTGCTGGAATTATAAGCCACTGCACCCAGCCTGTGGTGCCTTTTTAAAAAATTTTATTTGATTTTATATTTTGTGTGTGCTAGGGTTTCACTCTGTCACCTAGGTTGGA